CTACTTTTCGACGTTTTCACTGAATTGTATATCATCGATTCTTTGACGTGGAAAAAATCTTTCTCTTGTAGCTATAATGCTTTGACTTACAAACAATGACTTTCTTATTCTATGCAAAAATTAAATTCAACTTGACAACATGACCCTGTTACTTATAGATTAAAAGGTGCATTTCTAAAAAGGAACAGATCTTATCTTCTGGTTTCAGATTTGTCTTCTCTCTGTAGATGAAGTTAAAATTCTATCGACATGAAATAAAAAGAAAAAACAATTTTGAAATAGTCACAAAATATCATTTGAAATTGTTCTGACGTTTATCTTCTTAAAACAAACAAAAAAAATAACTTAGAACCATAAATTGTGCACAAACAAAATTAATGTTTTGTTTTGCTCTTCTCACAAAGAATGAAAATTAGGTTACTATAAATACTGCATGAATGGCATTTACAAGATAAACTTGCATTTATACACCTGCTCAAAATTTAGAGTTTCAATTAAAAAATTCGCAACTAAATTGCTAAAAAACCATGTGAGCTCACACAACATATAATTAGTTAAAAGTTAATTCACTGATTACTTCCTTTCTCCTACATTGTCTCTTGCAGTTTTTTGAAAAAAAAAAATAATAAGGTGATTTTTGTGATGTTAATGACACCACCACACTAAAAGAAGGATACATACCACAGGCCATAGAAATCTGATTATGGAACTCTCCAGGTAACTTTTAAAAAATTTTTTAAATACTATCTGAACAAAATTTAAAATAGTTCGTTTCACCATAACTTGAATGCATTCTTAAGCAAGACTGCCATGACATTTAATGTATTTTAAAAAATAAATATTTGAAAAGTGTATCCACAATGTTCCTAAGAAATGGTTTTGAATTCCTGAGTCTCAAGGAGATGAATTGGCTGTCAGATAACAATGTGCTTCCATCAGATGGACTTGGCAGTTGTAAACAAAAGGAATTTTCTCAGCTTTTCCTCACAAATATGAAATATTTGCTCTCGGCCAACAGCTGGGGTGATTTAAAGAAGTCCTGCATATATATTAGTTTTCATTCAAAATCACAAAACCTCCTCCCACTCTGCAACATCTGACTGCATCTTAGTAGAACAGAAAATTCTTCTGAGAGGGAGTGACATTCCCAGGAGAAGCCAAAGTCAAACACTAGTGCCTACTTACGACTCTAATCGAATTTCAGATCATAAGGCATCTGGTTAATAATTTTTAGGAGAAGTTAATTTATTCAAGATGAAAGTTCAGCTGATACTCCACAGTGGCTTGGAAAACAATGAGAAAGTTTCTTTTGTTCGAGTGTTTCTGAAAATACTGTAAACTATAACATAACCAAAATGGAGACGGCATGAAAAACCGTCAAGTTTCCTTTAATAATTTGGAAGTCTTTTGAGAATCAAAACACTTCTGTTTCCATGTGATGACTACTAGTTGAGTCAAGCTATTCATGAAAAAAAGGGTTAATGTTTAAATGATAATTTTATGTTGTCTGTTCACCTCACCAAACATTAAAATCACATTGATAATTTTTTTTAAAATGGTTGAATTAAAAATACCTCTCTTTACAAGGTACTCGCTAGGAATTAGCTAGTCACAAAGCCTATGGAGATCAAAGAATACATACTTTCAGAGTATTTCTGTATATTAAGAGATAGGTTATGAATTTAGGAACTTAGTTATGAATTTAACCAATGTTTACCTTATTTTTATTCCTATCCCACAAAACTAGCTCAAAGTATTAATTTTAAATTTATTTTGTATTCCACATTAAATTCCCTGTAAGATTTATCATGGACAAAATTTTATAGCAAAATAAATTAGATATCTCTGTGTTTAATTTCCTTGAGGTGATAAAAATGTACCCTATATATTTACAAATACCTTAGGAGCCGACAAGTGTTTTTCTGTTTAGAGACAATTACACAGAATTAACTTTTGCCCTTGGGCCCTGTGAATGTGAATATGTGCTAAGCCTGAAATGAAGTTCTTTTTTCTTATTTTAAATAAATGTTTTATTTTTACCTAAAGTGCCTATTAAAGCAGGCATGGAAACTTATTAAAATAATTATTGCTACTTGTAATAGAGCTGCATTTTCCCTTAAAATGCAAACCTACTAAACTTGAATTATCAAGACATATGAGATATGGAATTCATACATCAAATTACAAAGTAACTTATCCTACTTATTACAGCGGTTTTGTCTTTTGTAGATATACAATGTAGACATAAAATAATGGCCCTTAGGTAATATATATCAATCCTTAAGATTTTGTGTGAAAAAATATATATATGTAGATAGATGATAGATAGATGATAGATATGATAGATGAGAGAGAGAGAGGGAGGGAGGGAGAGAGGGAGGGAGAGAGGGAGGGGGAGAGAGAGAGAGAGAGAGAGGCAGGCGCGGGGGGGGGGGGGAGAGAGAGAGAGAGATAGGTCTTAAGTCTGCATTTGATTTTCTCGGAGGAAAAAAAGAATCAATGTTAAAATGACTACTCTGCAATAACATAATTCTTACTTATATTTCTACTAATTTTAAATTTTTTTCAGCAGAAATATGAAGAAAGCTTCTATTAAAATAATGAAATAAAATTGTGAATAGCAGTCATTAACAATATTCACCACAAGTGTTATATATCAGAAAGCAAATCTTTATCATTACCAATTTAAAATATTTCTTTAAATGTCACTAAGGACACACATAGCAACAGCATGGAAATGAAAATAACTATGAGCTAAATTTTTCCATCATGTACCATAAGTGCAAATAAAATCGCACCTTGCTTCCAGCAGAAGTAAATGAAACAGACTAGATGAACAATAAGAAAACCATACACTTCTCGAAGTGTCAACACAATGGTTATCAAGGAAGTAAATGTCTACAGAAAGTTAAGTCTGCATTTTTGAGCTTTATTTTGAATTAGTATTATTCATGCAAAAATTCTACAATGTCTGTTTATAAATTAGTCTGAAAACCGCTTATTCAACCTCCTGTTTCTGTAAACTTTCAAAGATTAAGTAAGACACAAAATTGAAGACACAGTCCTTGAAATTCAAGTATTTTTTACAATATTTATGTCGTCATAAGTTTGGAATTGAAAATACTTACAGTCTCTCCAGTTCTTTAAGATCCTGGAATGCTCCTTTTTCGATGGTGCTAATCTTATTCTCCATAAGCTGACTAAAATGCAAAGTATAACAGAGTCTTAATGTTACCACTCACTGTCTGAATAAATTTCAATTCAGCAACTGAAAACTTGTAAAAAAAAAAAGTTACATATTGCTCTGGTTTGAAATTCAATATTAAATTTAATGGTGATATACTTGAGAGAAATCAGGGAGGGGAAATAGAAACCACATCACAAAACTTTCTTTAAAAATGCTAATGCAGTTTCTTGTAAAATTTACCAGTCGAAAACTCTGAATCATACTGTATCCTGAAGAATAACCCATGTTAGTACAGCTTTGATGGATGCTTTTTGGTAAACTGATTTTCAACGGAGTTCTTATCGAAGAGACTCAATATACAGTATTTCATCATGCACATACTTCAATTCGCTTACAGGTATACATCAGAAATAGGAAGAATTCATAATGGTCAAAATGTGTCTTCTAAAAGATTAATACTGAACGCACAATGATCAAAAGCATATGCTCATTGTGATGTAAATATTTACAAGTCTGTGGGTAAAAGCGATTTTATATTACATTGAATCTCGAATGATGGTTCACTCATAAGTAATTTAACCCAATCATATTGCAGCAATTTTATAAAAGTTACAAAGATATAAAATACAAGAAACAATTCAAAATATGACCAATGTACTTTTATAAACTTTTCCCATCAAAACTTCTGTGAAAACTTGGATTGCTTATAATTTTAGAAATTATATCTGTTTGTTTGCTAGAAAAAGCTGAACATTTCTATGTTAGCAATAATAAAATGCAGAGCCACTTAAACTATCTCTAGTTAATCTCAAATTCTAAGTGTACCAAATGTCTCACATTACTTATTCATATTGTGAAAGCAATTATTCTATATTTTTATACATATAAGGCACTTAGGATATGGTATACCAAACATTTTAGATCATTTCTATAACACTGTTTCTATGGCCTGTATCCAACCTTAAAATACAAGCCTATATTTTTATTAAAAGTTATAGTACAGTGATAAACAAAAAAAGGAAACCAAGACCTGTAAATTTTTATATTTCTGTCATTGGGATAGTTTTTGAAACTGAGACAAGTAATGATTCAAAACATGCAACCTTTATAAATAAAAGACAATTCTTGAAAACACAAGAAAATAAAATACTTACAGAACTCTTAGGTGTCTAAGACCAGCAAAGTCCGTTTTCGTAATCCGTGTGATGTTATTTCCATTCAAATCTCTAAGAGAAAACAAGAAAATGAAAGTTCCATTTTATTTCTATCAATGTCTGGTTAAACAAAGAAAATGTAAACTAAATAAAAACTTTAAGATTAAAGATCAGTTCCAATTACTAAAGTAGTTTACAAAGTAAAAGAGAGAAAGAGTAACCTCTGAAAGAAATTTTTAGAAACGATTCTTAACAAATTCGCAGAGTCCGTGCTTGCTGGCATATGACAAGAAAATGAAGTGATTATGTTATCACACAAAAAAGTTCTCTCGTGTGTGTGTGTGTGTGTGTGTGTGTGTAGGAGTGCTTTCAACTTCTTTTTATAAGGACATGAATATTAATTTAACAGGTATTCTGATATTTACTATTATTGTTCGGCACACCCCCAAAAAAGTTCACTTCAGGAAGTTGAATGAACAATATTCTAATAGGATTCAGGAAGAAATTTTAAAAATTCAGAACCCTATCCTTAGGTGGCATGGTGGCTCAACTTCCTAAAGCGAAGAAAAAGGTTAAGAGTGCCATCAAAAGAGCGGCACTTCAAAGACTTGCATTTACAGGCATTTACCTTCCAACAATTCTATGTTTGTATGAAAACTAAACTCTTCATTTGCAGCTCCGGGAACCCCGCTGTGACTGTAAAGTGAAAACTACAAGCGGGGGGAATAATGGAAATAGTATTCAGGCCCTGACTTTTTTTTTTTTTTCTCAAATTTCAGCACCATGTTTCCTCTAGAGCCACAGTTCCTTGTCTGGCATCTTAGGTCAAGATCTAAACTTGCCCTGGTTCCAATCATTTCAAGTAGAAGCAGGCTGTGCTGCGGTCTGAACATTCTCCTTCACGGAAGTACGTTTTCTCTTACCTGGACTTTAAAACACCGTGTTTGGAATCTGCATTTAATGTGTTTATTGTGTCAGTGATAGAATTTCATAAGCCAGCACTGAGTAAACCGTTTTCTGAAAACTCATTATAGATCCCTTATAGGGATTCCCCCCCGCCGCGCGCGCCCCAAGGACCTCAAACTCACTTGATATGTTGTCCCTTTTTGTTGAGTAAGACATGTTCGTGCTTAAACTTTAAACTGAATCGCATGAAATAACTGCTAAAGCAGAATTCTGCAGTTTCCTCCCCAACACGCTTTCCATGCCGAGCAAAGTACCATCAAGTTGTTCCTACAGTTCTGGGAGTCTTTTACCGACTATTGGACATAACTTGAGTCCCTATTCTCCTCATCCCAGACAAACCTTATAGGTCACATTTTGACGACACCCTTGCTAAGGCCCCCACTTGCGCTCCTGCCCGGGTAGGACTGAGGCTGGGGCGGGGAAAAGGGAGCCAGTAGCAAAGGGAAAAAGGGCTCAGTTCTGGCCTTTTAAACTGAGGGCGAGGGAAAGGGATTAAATAAGCGCGACAGAGGCGCTGCGTGCAGCGCGGGCGGAGACGCGCGCTTCGGAGCTGGCCCTCTCCCGGGGCGCGCAACCCTCACACCCCGGGGCGTAGAGGCCCGCGAGCCGAGTCCGGGGCGCTTGCCCCCGCCGCCCTTGTCCCGCCCCCGCCGGGGCCACGCGCAACGGCGAGTGCAGCGCGCAGGGCGCTTGGGCAGCGCCGGTCTGCGGCCTCGGCGGTCACAAAGAGAATGGCCTCCATGCTCCACTTCCCTGAAGTCGGGAAGCGCCCAACTAGGAGCGCGTGGGCAGTCAACACCAGCCTTGCGATTACTTCTTCATTAGAGACTCGCCGAGACAGGGGGGCGGGGATGTCTGCGGGCAACGGAGCGCGAAGAGAAGGCAGGGGAGCCGCTGCCACGTGAGGGGAGGCGGAAACTGCCAGAAAGGTGGACCGGGGCACTGGGGCTCCGCAGGAAGGGCCGGAGGGGGCAGCCGAGGGCCGCGAGGTCGCCGCGGCAGTCAGATCCGACTCGGCTGGGTCCGGTTGGAGAGGCAGCCCTAACTTCGCCTAGATGACGGGACGTGGTCCTCCTCTGCAGTCGCCAACTCGGATAGGTCCCTTGCGGCCCACTGCCGCCTCCTCCTCCTGGGGGGACGTGGGGGGCGGGAAAACGTCGTGCGGGTGGGGGCTGCGCGCCGCCACCGCGGAGCTGGCGCCGTTCTGGGGCGTCCTGCCCTCTGGGGTCCGTGAGCTCCCCCGGGCGGACCCAAACGCCCCACGACCCCCTCTCCCCTCCCTCCGTCCCCAGGAGGGCGACACAAAGCCGGGCAGCGGAGGTTTCTCGCTTCCGAGTACCCCCTCCAGTCCCCCGCGCCAACCCGCGGCAAGAGTGGAGACTCGGCCCTGAAACTGACCCGCGAGTCTTGGCAACCGCAAGGTGACTCTGTTCACGGAGTCTGGAGAACAAAGTCGCGTCTCCCTTGCCCCGGGCATCTGCGAGTACTTGTCCCCCATCTCCCGCCTCCCCAGCCCCAGAGAATCCGAGAGCACCAAACTGCGTGTGGCAAGACGGCAGTGGGAGGAAGGGACCAAGCACAGCTGCCAGCGGGCCCGCCCCTCTTTGGGCAGTGGCCCCTCCTTAGGCAGCGCCCTCCAGTCCTTGGCCCTCCTGGAGACTTCAGTCCCAGGCTGCGCGTGCAGGAGAGCTCGCGAAGGCTGACCCAGGCACAGGGACCTGTCCCTCCAGTCGCCAAGCTACGGGTGCGGGACCCCAATAGGGGCGGGGGGGGGGAGCGGCGTAAGAAGACCCCATACTCACAGTCTCTCGGTGTTGCGGGGGATATTCCTGGGCACGCTGCGCAGCGCCAGCCCATGACAGTCTACCGTGCTTCCCGAGCAGGAGCACTGCGCCGGGCACGCCTGCGGCGCCACCTCGTTCAGGATCGCCAGCACTAACCCCAGCGACAGGGACAGCGTCTGCCAGCCGGCGCCGCGCATCTTCCCCCGCCGCCTCCTTGCTAGCCAGTGCAGGGCGTTTCTTTTTAGCTTGCTGCTCCGCGCGAATCGCGCTGTGTCTGAGGCCCAGTGTCTGGTGCAGGGCTAACAACCCAGAGTGTCCGGGTAAATGTGCATAAAATATGGAAGTAGCAGTTATAATATTCAAGGCAGAAGAGCCGACACAAGTACACGCCTCCCACCTTCCCACCACCCTCCTCCAGCAGGGCAGGCGCTCTTTAGGCAACTTTAAGTCCTGAAGATCAATCGACCTGACCAAGGCTACAAGGAGACCCCAGAGCAGCGGGGAGGAGATCCACGCGTCGCAAAGATCAACTTGGCGGTAAAAGAGCTGGGGCTCGCTCCCAGGAGCTGCGAAGATGCAGGAGCCAGTTGTGCCGAGAAAAGGAGATGCTCGGATTCCACGGACCCCCTCTACAAATCAGATTCCAGCGGGGAGGGTACAAGGCAGAAGAGGGGTACTCAAGAATGGTAGCCTTGATCAAAGTGGGCTAGAAGGCGCAGGAGCCCTGCGGGCCAGGAGCCTAGCGCGCCGGGAGACTGGGCATGGCGCGCGGGGGCGCACGCGGCGGGCGCGCAGCCCAGTGCGGCTCACTCACGCGGCTTCGCCCCGGCCGGAGGCTCCTCCGCAGCCCAGACCGGACCTTGCAGTCTCCCGACAGTCGAGAGCAGTTTGCAAACACACACGCACTTCGCGGAAGGTTGTCTCCCCAATCCCGCCTTCCGCCCGGCGTCCTTGGCGACGCTCCGCACCGGGGCCTTCCCCGAGGTCACGCAGGAAAGACAAAAGGGCAATGGGGCCGCCCTGGCCGGCAGGAATATCCTTTAGTCACAACCCTGGCAGAGGAAATCCAAGAGGCCAAGTTAAGGACAAGAGCTCCTGCGAGGACAGAGAGGTGGCTGCAGGTAGGCTGGTCGCAAGGAGTGGAGAGGCCAAGCTGGAGGCGTCCGCACTCTGGGTCCTGCCGGGGTGTCCTGGGGGGTGGCGAGATGGCAGTCGGGCCCGTGGGATCCGTTACTCCGAGGAGAGCCCAGGAGGCAGCTGAATGGCAGCCCCGCGTGCGCGCGTGTGTCAGCCCCTCTCGTCTCCCGGATACAGCGCAGTTCCGCAGCAGACACCTGATGGCAAAGGTGGAAGAAACGAGAGCGGGCTCCGAGGCGGGCGCAGCCCCTTGGCTGCCCCTCGACAGAGACCCACAAGTGGGTCCTTCTCAAAGTGCAGCAACTTTTCCCAGGCTTTGGATCCCGTCCGCCACGGCCGCGGTGGGAGTCCTTCCGCCGACGTAGCGACGCCGCCCAGCTCCGGGCGCTGCACCTGACTCGGCTACCGAAGTCACCCAGCAGCCCGTCTCCTCGCAGCCCCTTCCCCTCTCCCGGCTGCTCTCCGCTTCTCCTTCTCCAGGGAGGGAAGTGGGGGAGAGGGAAGGCGGCGACGGGCAGCGGGGACTCGCTGTCTCTGCTGACTCCCGAGCTCCTGGCAAGTGTCTAAACAATAGGACGGACGCCGCAGCCCTAGTCTCGCTCGGCTGCGGGAAGGTGGGTTGTTGCTGTAACTGGAGTTGTTCGCTTAGGCTGCCTGGCGCTGAGCGCAGCCGAACAAAAACCCGGCCCGAGCCCCTGGAGCCGGCTGCGGGCCCCCCGACGCTCCCCTTTCTCCTCAGCCCCCCCGCCGTGGCCGGAAAGCTCGGCAGCTCCCGCCTGCGCCCGAAATCCACGGCGCTCGCATCGCCCGCCGCCGCCTGTTTTTAACCACTGTCTGCGGCAGCCACCTCCGCCGCCGCCGCCCACAGCCTCCGCCGTCCGCACGCTCCCCAAATAAATAACCCCAAGTCAGAAGTTAAGCCGGCGCGGGC